TGATTCGCGGATTTCTGGATCATGTTTCCGATCTCATCGGTTGGGGCGTCTGACTGGGGGTTCTTCATTTTGATGTGCCTTTTGTCGGGGTGATGTGCCTTTCGCTGATCGGGGCGTCTACATGGGGATGATGGGCCTTTTGGCCGCGTGATGTGCCTTAGGGCGGGAACCATGTAGGACAGCGAATGGTGCCATTGCTTGTACCAATGCACTCAAAAATGGGACCCATTTTTGAAGCACCGCAAAGATTGTGAAGCTCGACAGTCAAGAGGGGCCGGCCAATTCTACACCTTTGCAAATCAAAGACCCTGGATACAATGTGGAGCCACATTGTCACTTTGCAAACTGTTGGACAGGTGGTGAAGATGATCGTTCCGGAGCCCCTCAAGTTTGCAGAGGACCTGAAGACCAAACAGGTCAGCCGGCAAGCGCATTTGCTGTGGCATCCGCTGTATCCTTGCGCGTACGCAGGCAACCGAGAAGCTGCTTGCAGAGCTGTCAGGCATTGCAGAGCCAGGCTATCCCGTAAAGACTGCATACACGAGTCGTACAGACATTGAAAGTCGCAGAGCCACACAGATACCTCTGTGTAGAATCGTTTGCATAGCAAGTGGATCGAGCGCTCCAGTGGATAACTGTTTGGATTTCTTATTCAGGTGTACGCGCTTCGCTCATTCCAGACCAGGTCGGGCAGTATCAAAGTCATGTTTTGCATTTTCCACCAGGCTGCTGTGCGCTTTGCAAGGTCTATCGTTATGAGGCCGAGTTTGGAGAGGACAGCCCGGATACTGTCGATGAGGTAAGCTGTTTCATTACCTGGAATGGTGTTGTCAAGAGCTTTCCATACCTGCAAAGGCCGCAAGGCGAAGTATACCAAGTGATTCGATACAAAACAAAAGTGGGGAGGCCAGACTTGTGCCAATCTTTCTTTCCTTTTCTCTGCCACATCTTGTTCTAGAAGGTCCACGCTTGGTGTCAACCTCAGAGGTTCATTTTGCTATATTCTGCTGATTCCGCCGCTGGAAGGATTTTTAGAAACAATGCCTTGGGCGGCCAAGGTTCAGTCTGGTCGGGAAAGTCCAGCCAAATCGTGAGATTGCTGTAGAGGAAGCTCGCAGGATCGCTCAGGCCATGATGGCCGAGGACCAGATGTCCAGCTGTCATTTTCATGCCAAGCTTTCGACTTGCCTGAAGTCAGCTTCAGGACCTGAAGGCTGTGACAGTTCGCAACAACGTCTTCCTTGAAAGTGTTGGCCTCATCGATGCGGGCACAAAGGCCGCGGCATTTTGGATTGTTGTGCATTCAGCCGGATGGCAGCTGGATTCTTTTGAACTTGCGTGTTCATTGCCGCAGGTCATCCAAATTCTTGCCAAAGCTGGCGGTGATCATGATCAGGCAGGGCAGTCAGCTGAAGCTCAATTCAACATCTGTCTTTTACGCGTGTTTCTTGCCTGGTAGACATATGCAGTGGAGGTGGAAGAAACCATCCTTGATCAAGGTCCTGGGCAACTGCGAGTGACCGGCGTGGATCACTCACTAGACCAGTTTTCAAAGGCAGAAGTATGAAGATGTCAGACGTTTCAGGTCGTTGAGATGATGACTGACTTTCCCAAGTCGTTTTCTGCGGACCGCCGATCAGAGGAGGCGCAGCGAAAGCGCGCAGCACGCCAGCCAGGATTCAAGGCTTTGTACTTCTTGCCAGGGCTTGGTACAAGCGTTATCGCAGCTGACTGGCATGCCAACGAGCAGAAAGTCTGGCTCGCTTTCAAGGGGGGTTCTATTTGCTGTGGTGCACGTCTTCACATGACTAATCAGATGGACATACATTCATCTATGCTTCAGGCATTCGAGTGTCGTTGGTGCCCAGCGAGGTTCGACTTGTTGGGCATATTTGTGTGCTCAGGCTTGTCTTGCTCGCTCACGAGGCAGATGTCTGATATCTTCTGGGTTCCCGAAGCCTCTATTGTGATAGTTTTTGGAGCTGCCGCATCAGGCAATAGTGGCTGGCAGCTGCTGGCACCTGATAATTGAGAAGCTGCAGAGCAAGTCTGATGAAGACCCACACATCTCAGCACTCAGAGGTTTCCTTTTGCAACTGGAATCAGATAGCAAAGAGCAGGTTCGTCCGTGCAAGGCCAGAAGACTCCAAGCTAGAGATAAGAACTGAGCTCATAGATGAAAAGAACGTTGCTGCAGCAGCAAGGTGAACAAAAATGCAGGCCCACTCTACACCATCAACTAAGGGCGAGTAACATCCAGAGATGGCCTTCCTGTATGCTTTGATGTTTGAAGCCGGAGATGTGCAGTCCCGCATCGAGTCGCTGCTGCAACAGCCTGTTGAGGGAGAGGCCTCGGACTCGGACCGTGCAGGTATGGAGTTTGCATATTTTGTATTGAAGCAACACGTAACTTGCCTGCGTGTAAAGCTCTGCAGGTACCTCCAGACTCTCCAGTGGATGCCAAGGACGCCTTTGGCAACGAAGTCTCTGCCTGGCCATGAGCTTAAAGTCTTGTCATTTTCGTACGCACGTACGCACGGATGAGCGGCCGGTGAGGTTTGTCATCACGATGTCCTCGCAAGAAGACAAGTCGCCTGAAGACATTGCAGAGAAGCTGCGCAGCCAGGCCTCCACGCAAAGATGTCACTGCATACTGCGCATAATTTCTAGTAAAAGCACCGAACTCCGAATGTGAGGACCTGACACTGGCTGGGCTCAAGATTCAGAATTGTATCATGGATGAAGGTCTTGATTTGTTGGCTGCTGAACTTTTGGGCTCGCTGAAGGGGCAGTGATGGTTCCGCAGCAGTCTGGCAGTAACCTGATAGCTAAGGTCCGTGAAGGTGGGTCGCATTACGGCCATGGTTCAAACCACCGCCACTACCACTCTGGATACTGGGCCGAATCTGATTCTTCTGGCACAGCAAACATTTCAGGTCAAACTGCAGGATCAACTTCAAACTGAGGCCACTGGAGTGATCAAGAAGGTGGTCCATGCCTTAAGCCTTGTCAGCTTCATCCGTTCCGCCTTGGCAGAGCCATTTGCCTCAGGACCGTGGTGTGTAGCAGAGGTTCTCGTGTTGAGTTGGCTGAGGACTTCCACAACGATGCTGGTGCAGAAAGTGCAAGTGCGCAGGAGATCTCCCCTAGACATGTTTGAAGCTAACATGACCAAAGGGCACCGTGTGTGATACGTAGCGAATGAGGGAGCTGTGCAAGGTGCCTCATGCCAGTCAGGATGGCCGCTTTTCCTTTTTACCTTTCTCCAGGTATGCCAACTAACACGACTTCCGCTGCAACTGCGGCGCAAGCAGTGAAAATCTCGGCATGTTGGAGTGCTGGAGCCATGCAGTGCTGAAAGTGCAGGATGAGCCATGACTGCTGCATGTGGAATGTAGGTCATGCGCTCATCTGTCGTTGGAGCGGACGCCTCCACTCCGGCCAAAGTGATTGCCGTGGTTGCCGCAGTCTCGCCCAACGATGTCGAGCCACCGACTATGTCCAATCCAGGCAGCACGCAGCAAATCCCAGAGAAAGTATACGGCAAGAGTGACCAACCTCAGCTAGAAGTTCCATCATCCTCCAATATCAGGGAGTTTGTGGTACATGCCTTGTGGAAAGACTTGATCTCGCAGGATTATGCTGCGGTCGATGAGGGGTTGTTGCCCTTTTATGTTGCTGGGCTGTTCGCTGCAGATTCGCCCACAACAAGTTGCTGCCATAACAACAAGAAAAAAAACTACCACGACAAGATCGCCTGGAAGCAACAGCGACAAAAACTAAAGGATTCAAGTAGATCTTCCCAAGCAATACGGAGCGCAGGCCCCTCACATGTGGAGCCCCACAGCCCGCTGGGCCTCCCTTCACTGCTCCATGATTTCGGCACTTTCAGCCCTCCAAAGCCCTAAAAACGCGGAGCAGAGGCCCCTCACCTTCTCACCTCTGCAGCCCAATGGCCCAGTTGGGCCCCCCTTTGCTGCTCCATGTTTTCGGAACCTTTCCAAAAGGTGGAGAAGAACCCCCTTAGCCTCCCACCTCCCTGCAGCGCCTCACCCCTTGACGTCAACAACTGTGTGCGGTCAACATTTGTCGGCAAACACCTTTTGTGTGTATCTATTCCCTGTCTTGGGTTTTCTCCACAGCTTGTCATGGTAACAACCCCCTGTTGACAAAATCAGAATGCATGCTGGAAACCAAGCAAGGCGTGTACAAAACGTGGACAAGTTGCAGCACGGTGACTATTGGCCTCTGGGAATTCAGCTTTACTATGAATACTGGAAGACTTGGTTGCTTGATTGATTTCACAACTAATTTGAGATGAAGGTGCATGGCACACCCTGCTTTCCAACCGGGGGGGAGCACGGGGGCAAGCAAAGGGAGCACGGGAGGCTTGCTTTTTGCTTTCAGAGAAGAACAGGATGACTTCTTTTCATCTGTGCCACATCAGCCCGCGGGTACATTCTGGTCCCCTTGGGGTTTAGCCCCGGCGAAGTCTTCGGACTGCGCAGATGATTACCTAGAAGAAGAACAACAAGAAGCAGGATAATCAAGAGAAGAAGCAAAAACAAGAAGAAGAAGAAGAAGAGGCATAAAAAATGACAAAAAGAAGAATAAAGAGAGAGAGAGGTTGATGCTCCTGATGTATTGCGGCAGAGAAGGCAAAGTGACTTCACTGTAGGCAATTTTCCCACTCCAAAAACTAAGGCCCCCTCCTTTGTACCCCAAACTAAGATGCCTCTGTGAAGCAACGAGGGGTTTTACCGACTGAGCAGCCCTACAGGGGCTGGGCATTGAAGCCCGGAGTGATCTTGTGATCACTCCGTAGCCCAAACCAAAGAAAGAAAGAAAGCTGGGCACGCCGTAGCCATTTTGGCTCAAGTCTCCGCCGCGCGAACCCTCTTTGGAGGGGGAGTGCCCTCGGCCAAGGCCCCTTTCGGGGGTGGGGGTCTTCCCTGCCTCTGCGAGGGGTGGACTTGTGCCTGAGTGGGGAGGCTTGAGGCCACATATCCGCGGCCATTTTGTGAGACAAGCCCGGTGAGCAGGGAGCCCCCCGCGCGGAGAATACTGTTACATTCAGCCGGTGGCAGAGGTGTTAACTTGTTGGGAGAGAAGGGCCGTGAGTCTCTCTTAAACATAAGCCCCTCCGGTGCGGGAACTGCGAGCCAGGGAAAGCTTTAGAGCTTCATTTTCAGTGTTGGAGTTACTCTGACCTTCCTTGTCGAGTTGTTGGGGTCGCCGAGGCCGGGAAGTTCTCAGTTTTCGCTACTTGGTAGAAGTTCTTGGGAATCAAAGGGGGAGTGGAAAATAGTCAGCCAGGGAGCTTCATGCTCACAGCACACCACAGCTAGTGGGAACCGGAAAGGAACGACGAATGGAGAATACAGTGGAGAAGCCGTCTGGAAGCAAGGATACAGGAGAAAAGGCCTCAGCATCGTCAAGCTCGGCGACAACGGTTGCGAAGGTGGAAACATCAGCGAAAGGACAAGATAGGGCGACCAGCTCTTCGACAACTGAGAAAGGGGATGGAATCTGCCTGGTATGTGCGCTGGGAACAAAGGGCAGCCACACATACCAGAAGGAGTGCAAAAGATTTGTAGCGGGAGCTACGATGGAGCAGATGAAAAGAGCGGCAAGAGGAGGAAGAAAAGGACACCACCGATTGTTGTTGGAACTCGCGCTGCAAAGAAGTGATGCGGAACGTGATAAAGCTGAAGAGAGAAAGGCGCCCCCAGGGAGAGGGGAATCTTCATCATCAACCAGCTCAAGCAGTTCTTCAACCTCGAGCCCAAGAGCTGTACAAAAGAGGACGTCGACCAAAAGAAAGAGAGAACGACCAGAGGAAAAAGAAAAGATAAAAAACCAAGCTGAGAATGGAACGGCGAAAAGGAAGACGGAGACAAATACTGCGGCAAGGGAGCAGCCGCCAAGTACAACGACGAAGAGGAAGACAGAGACAAATACTGCGACAAGGGAGGATTCGCCGGACATGGTGCAAGAGATACTGGGATGGCAAGCCTCGAGCAAACGCGAAACTGAGCAGGCGCCGACTGCCAGGACGAAGATCAAGGAGGACGACCGCAGTAAGAAGAACATCCCCAGTGCAAATACAAAGGAGAAAAAGCCAGCAGAGGTTGCCAAAGAAGAAGGGAAGCCAAGAGTCCCACCTCCGGCAAGTGCAAGAGTGGACGAAAGCAAGATTGACGAGTTGGCGATCGCAAGGTTGGAAGCAGCCAGAAAAGAACAGGAACAAAAGACAGCCGAGAAGAACCCTGGAAGTGAAAACCTGCGTATGGAAACTGACAAAGAGACAACTGTGCAGATGACGAGAGGCAAAGGACAGGAGCGCGAGGAAAAGAAACCAGAAGAGGAGGGAACCCGCCACGTTCTGGAAAGGCCAGCCTCCCCCATGACCGGGAGAAGAGACTCCCATCGAAGGCGAGTCTACTACAGAGGCGATAGGGACAGACGAAGAAGAAGGCGGCGGGAAGGACAAGGACCCAAAGAAAGAATGGCGGAGCCAGCGCACGCACCAAGCCACGTCGAGCTGCAGCAAATGACATACCTGGTACTCTGGTTTCAGAAGGAGGAGGAGGAGCACCGGAAAAGATGGGAGAGAAACTGGAAGGAAAGCCAAAGAGACAAGGACGAGGAAGAGCTGGCAAAAAGGTTGCAAAGACTAGATGGCAGAATTGGAGAAGGAACTGCATATGCCGAAATCCAGAGACAGCTGCAAATGCTGCGAGAGCAGGAGGCAGAGGACTGACAAAAGGATAACGATGGAGGTTGTGCAAGTGTGAGAGTTGAGAAGAACCAGGTTCAATCCGTGACCATACCGAACAATTCTGAGCCGGAGCGCTTTACTGGATAGGGACATCGTACAGTACCGTGACAGAGACACATTATGAACATTTTGAAGGAAGTAGAGAGGAGAATTCGGCGTGCCGCTGGGAACCCACCACATAAGAGGGGGGGGGGGAACGGCTTACTGATACCCTAACGATCCAGCATGTAATTTGCAGAGCCTGAGTCCAAGGGAACTTTCGGAATAGTTGTTGATGGGGTAGAAGGGTGACAAGGGCCCGAGGACGAGGGAAGCAGGTAATTGAAGGTGCAAAGGCAGAAGGAAATTCGAAGAGTGGTTGCAAAGACATCAATTAAGATGACAGAGGTAGGGAAATTCGAGCAAGGCGAAACCCTAACGCACGGAAATAGGGATGTTGGAAATATGTACAAAATGATCTCTCCGACCCCCTTTGGGGAGTGCAAAAAGATTCTCCAGAGCAGTGAGATGCAAGGGGTACATGGTGATCAAAAGAATTGTGCTTAGGGAACGGGAAACGATCACCATATGCCAACCTTTCCTCGGCTCGGCTTTTCTGACGATTTTCCCGGGAAAGAGATGCGCGTTGGATAGAGGTTGGAGTATGGGGTAGAAGGGGGGTAGAAGAAGAAGGGGTGGCGTACGTTCCACGATCCAATGTTCGCAGCAGTCATCCCTGCAACAGACCTGTGACCGCGGGGCTGGAGGTTCGCCTCCGCGACACCTCCGGGTGTCGTATAGCCTGTAGAAGAAGAAGAAGCTGGGGCACGCTTAGTGTAGGTAGCTTTGTTGTCTGCGTGGTGCTGCATATGTTCGGTGCCCGGGCTGGAGCAGTTCGCAACGCCTGGACTGTGCCTGCTTGGGGCTTTGCCCCAGCCCTCCTCTCGGGGAGGGTGTAGCAATTAGAAGAAGAAGAAGAAGGCTACGCCTATGGAAGAAGAAGAAAGGCTACGCAGCAAGAGAACAGCGTTGTCGATGAGGTGGAGAACCAGGAGGACAACGATGACTGCCAGATCGCGCCGTGTCAAACTCGCGAGAAAGCAGCAGTCAACTCTGAGCACGCACGGGAACCCACCCACCAAACCAAGAAGAATGCGGACGAAGTCCGAGTCAACACGGGAGAGGGCGGTGACGAGCTGGATGCCGAGGAAGGAATGAGAAAACATTTCGGTTCAGACCTGATTAGGAACAGGATCAAGTTTACTTACGAGGGAGTGGAGCAGAACACCGACGTCATCTACAAGACCAAGGACACCCAGAACGCCGAGGAAAGAAGGACAGCGACAGCTCAGGATAAAATAAGGGAACTTGAGGGAGAAGACTGGAGGTGCCGAAGCACCGATGACGAGGGAGAGAACCAGAAAGACGCCGACGACTGCCAGCTGGCTCGCCGCAAAACCAGTGGGAATACACGACTGCGTATTCCGATAGCTCCAAAGACCTTGCAAACCGAGCTGGGAGAGAAAAGGGTCGAAGGGGAAGGCCGCTATAATTTATAACCGGCAAAGCTCTCTGGGAGCAGTGGGCGACCACGACGCCAAGATCGACCACTACCCGACTCAGGAAAAGAAGGGGCCCGCCGACGAGGGGGTTGAGGAGAACCGCGCCATCAACTACCCGATTAAGGACAATGCAACCTTGAGAAGCGGCGACACCGAGCCCCGCTACTACTCGATTAGGGAGAACAAGAACGTTACCGACGAGGGCGCGGAGCAGAACATCGATTTCTCTTACAAGCACGCTAAAAGAAGCTGCGACGCTAAGCTCGAATATTCGGTGATCTTTATGCAAAGAGTCCCCCCCGTGGAGAAGACGGCAAGAAGTCACAATGACCACATCAACTAGACCCATCGCGCCTTGGGGTTCGATGAGAGTTGACAGATCACGATCGGCAACAAAAAGGGAAAACCATGAGGGAGAGCTGCCCTCGTGAAGTTGTGAACATGAGATGGAAGAAGTGCAGGTTGAGCGGGAGCAACAAGATGGCGCCCCAACATATGAGGAAACAGAAGAGGAGGAACAGGAAACAGTTGAACTGGGGCCGGAAGAACAGCAGGAAACAAAGGAACAGGAGAGGGAAGCAGAAAAGGAAGAGGCAGAAGACGACGATGCTAGGGAGGAGTCAGCTGGAGAAGATGAAATAGAGCCCAGGGAGGGAACAGGAAGAGGAAGAAAGGGCTGTGCAGGACGACAGTGGACACCAAGACATACCGACACGGCCAGCGCGCAACGAGGCGGTGTCGCTGCTGGTAGCAGCCCTGAGTCCGCGATGACGCGGGAGGGGGAGTGTGCACGAGAGATCAGTCCCAACTCCTTCCGGGTCCTCGAACAGGAAGTCAAGGAGAACCTAAAGCGCATCCTCCGATGCATGTTCAGGGAGGGAAGAACACCATGAGTGCCGTGCTCCTTACACTTAAGAAAACACTGGAGTTGGAAACACAGGAAGTTATTGAAGCTGCAGAGCACCAGGCGGAAGAAGGGAACATGCGCGACGTGACGAGCCTCATGCAAACCCCCCGAGAAGTACAAGCGCAAGAAGACAGGTCGGACGACCAGGAGAAACATCCCGTCGAGCACGAGCACCAGGCAAACAATGTAGCTCAGGCGGGATCAAGAGATCAAGCAATGGAGCAGGAAAGCAAAGAAAGTACGTCTGTGCAGGCAGAAGAGGACCGCGAGCAGATGGACACGGAGGGTAAGGTCCAAGGAAGCCAGGTTGAGGCGGGGTACGAGGAGGCGCTGCAAAGCCAACAAGAGCAAGGCGCAGAGAAGGGCAAGGAAACCATCCAAGAAGAAGGCAACCGACAGAATCAGGACAGCGCAGCTAGCGCGACAGCACAAACGAAAGATCCCGACCGTGAAGGAGAGTGCCACCAGACTCGATTCAAAACCAGGAGGCCCATTGCAGAACAAAGAGATCGAGAAGAGGGGGGGCCAACACCAGGTACGGGAGGACGATGACCAAGAGGCCCGAGCATCAAAGGAAATCGAGGCATGGAAAGAAGATTACCAGGAGATAAAAAGGAAGTTGCCCAGGAAGACCTTTACGATGCCAGAACTTATGGATATTGTGGCCACACCAGCGCACCCCTGCCACCAGGAAGCTGTCTACACATTGGCGGTGCTGGGAGCCCAGACCCTTGAACCGCAACTACAAGCAGAATCCAGCCCTTTGGAGCCACCGGAAGAGTCACATGAGGAGACGGAGAGTGGGTGGCGTTGGGCTAGACAAGCCTTCCCTCCAGGAGGCGAGAAGACGCACGGAATGCTGAAAAGGGGAGGAAGATATGAGCAAGAGCGCAAGGAGAACAAAGATGAGGAGGAGCCACAGGGCGCAGGAATCAAGGGTGAAGCGACGCAGGACGAAAACAGAGAGGAGGAGGAGAAGTTTCAAGCAGAGTTGACGGAGTTCCTGCGAGAGTACGACAGGCCAGGGAAAGGGAAACGGAAGAAGGAAGGCCAAAGAGGATCCCTAACAAGAAGGACGAGAAGAAGAATACATCCTCCGGGACGGGGGTGGTGGAAAAAGTCGATGACCCCGAATCGCGGGGTGCCACAGAAATATGGCAATCCATGACCAAAACAACTCCTACCACAAAGGCCTCGCGCACGGCGCGTGGCAGTGGGGGGAATCCTCCCGCGAACACTGATCCAGTGGAAGCAGAGATGACTCAAACAGAAATGCACAACATACCAATGGGGAGAGATAAAGATGGCAATCGTGGCATTGGGGAGTGAGGCATGGATGATCCCTGACAACGTTCGCAAAGAAGACACTTGAGAGTGAAGACCACCACCGACAGCGAGAAGAACAGGGAAGAGGAGAGCAACCATGGAGGAGATGGACACCAAGAAGGAGAAGAAGCTACCGTGACTCCCAAAGTAAGGACGAAGAGGAGGAAAGAGACGATGACAATTCGCATATGCAGAAAGGAAAAGGAAGAAAGCCGCAGTCAGAGGCAAGCAGACGAGAGGATGAGAAGACAACAAGAAAAGAGGCCGAGGAGACCAAGGAGAGGACGAGAAAAGCAAAACAAAACAGGGAGCAGCCCAAAGCAAGGAGGAACAAAAAGAGCCGAAGGAGAATCAGGAAAGGAGACAGTTGGGGCAATTCGCGCAATCCCTTCTGCGCCGGGTCCTAGACCCACAGGCGACATTGTTCCTGCTGGCTTGTTTGGGGATGAGAGCGCCGGGCTGCAGGTCTGAGGAAAGTTGTCGATCAGAGTTTGAGGGGGAATTGAATTACTGCCCACCTCAATGGCACGATGGTAGTTTGCCAAGGGAGTACCGCAGTGCATGGGGGACAAAGAATACAAAGAATGGAGGAGCGCAATAGGCCCGACCCGAGGAGACAGGTCGCGATGGCCGAAGCATGGGAGAGGGAGAGGAGGCAAAGAAGAAGAGAGGGAGCATGGACCCATTGGAGCCGGAGAGACGTGGATTGCCCTTAGGGTCGGGGTGGGGGCAACTCTCCAGAGAAGAAAGAGAGGGGGCCATGGCAACTGCGATGCATCTCCTCCCAGAAAAATATGTGGCGAAATACGCCCAAACCATTTCCGCAATGTGCAACGCAGCGGAGATGGCAGCAGTGCCACAAGCTCAGGACCAGACAGGAAGACCATGAAGAAGTTGAGGTGAGCTCGGAAATGGAGGAGGAAGATGCAGAGTATCAAGAAGGCACGGAGAGCAGTAAAAGAGAGAAGCAAGGGCGGGTACAATGGACAGAGGAAAGGAAAAGGAGAACAAAAAAGAGAAATGTCCCCAGCAAAAGATGATGAACGGGGGCAGCCAGACACAAAGGAAGTCAGCGTAAAGTGCCCAAGCTGACCCAGAAGTCTATAGCAGCGCTGGCCCAGATTCCAGGGAGAAACCACCACCAATCCCGGTGAGAGTGCCAGGAACAAGAAGCACAGACATTGGGGAGGAGAAGGAATTTCTGGGCAGGCCATGGACACAGAGCAAAAGCTACGGGAGACATTCGTGAAGAACATCACTCGGGAGGCGAAGAGCAAGAGAGTGGAGGATACACCCAGATGTCCCAACAGACAGGGGGGATGCAGGAGAATTGAGGTAACGTGGCCAAACATAAGCGAACTTCTGCCAGAGGAAGAGTTGAGACAAAATCTAAGAAACCAAGGAGGAGAAGGAGCAATGCAGGAACGAGAACAGCAAGAAGAGGGAGAAGCGGGAGGAGTTACAGCAGCCTCAAGCAACATTCAGCAGACGCAACAGGAGACGGCGTCAGACCAAGCTCCTACACAAATATATATATATATACATATATATATATACATATATATAGACATACATATATATATATACATACATATATATATATATACCGCGAGCGTGAGCGTCTACAACGGACAACAAGGAGAGCGTCGCCTTGTAGATAGCCAGCCAGAGGCGCAAGCTGTGGAGAAGGCGGTCGAAGAGGAGAAAAGCCTACAAAATGTATGGGATTGTGACTTACAACGGTGGTGGGCCCCAACAGAGGAAGATGAATTGGCATTGAACAAAGGGAAGAGCTGAAAAGGGAGGAGGAAGCTGAACTATGAGCATACATCGAAGAGGAGCAAGTGGCAGAAAAACAGGAAGCGTGGGACGACTATTCTACCAGAGCATGGCGGGAGATGAGCAGGCAGACCGAGAAGGGCAAGAAAAAGGCATAGCAGAGGAAAAGGAGAACACATCGTCGAGCTCGAGGTCGAGCTAAACTGGGGCGGAGATAAAGTGAGCCCGCGCGACGCTGAGAGGGGTGACGTGACATAAGGGAAGCAGCAACTAGGGATGAGGGGCATTTTGAGGGCTACGTGGTATGCTACGCACGCCGTGGGGTGGTGTAAACCGCGGCTGCTTCCCTCAGGAGTATAGTGTCTCATTCCTATGTTGAGAGTGTTGTGCTGCGAGACAGGCTGATCGTGTTCACTATGGGTAGCTAGCGCGTTGTGACCCTATGTACCTCGGTGCATTGCTCTCCGACCTGAAGAGTCAGACCTGCAGTCAGTGTCCCAACTGATGCAAAGCCCAACGTAACATCATACCTAGTGGTTGCTCATGGAGGAGGGGAGAACGTGCGCCGTCAGGGGGTCACAAGTCTGCTGGGAGTGTAATTGTCAATTTCTGCAGAAGAATCTGCCAGCAAATAGGGATCAGAGGATAACCCTAACTATCTCGCCGCGGGGCGTAAAAATTACTTGCGAAAAAATGTGGAGACGCAGTACCATCCGTGGGGGCATGGGCCCAAATTACTGTCAGTGTACGCTGTTGACATCGTTAGCCCAGGGAGCCTCAGATCCGGTTTTGTGGAGCAGGGCAAAGCAGTCCGTCGCAACACTATATGGCCAGTGCAATGCAGTCGAGTGCTTGTGCAGTATGCTTTGAGTAAACATTGAGTGGCCTGCAGCCTCGTTTCTTAAGATGTGGCAAGTGCTCTTAGGGCACCTGGTCTCGGGCTTGAACGTGTGCCCCAGAACCTCTCTTGCAGAGACAGCTCTTTTGGGCATAACTTCAGGCTACCCTAGTGGTGTCTCCTTGGTGCCGTCGCTGGCAGGGGTAGAGGACAGGCTAGCGGGGTACCGTAGGCATTAATGGCATGGTCGGTGCCTCTGTCGCAGCTGCTTCGACTGGATCAGTGCGTTGAGGCTTGGTGCGTTACCAAGAAAATGGAAGCGGATCAGAAGCTGAAGCGACCTCTACAAGGCTTTGTGGCTTTTCCTTCCCAAGCGGAGGCGGAGGCCTACTGCTTGCCGCTCGACATCCCCTTCCCGGCGTGGTTTTGAAAAACCTAGGCCAGCGCCCTGGACGTGTGGCGCCTGAGTGGCTTCTTCTGCGCTTAGGATCTG